TCAGTGGGGGGAGGAATAGTGCCCCATCATTGGTGTATGGGGGGAGAATAGTGCCCATCGTTGGTGGTCAGTGGGGGAGGAGGAATAGTGCCCCATCGTTGGTGTCAGTGGGGGGAGGAATAGTGCCCCATCGTTGGTGTCAGTGGGGGGGAGGAATAGTGCCCCATCGTTGGTGTCAGTGGGGGGAGGAGGAATAGTGCCCCATCGTTGGTGTCAGTGGGGGGAGGAATAGTGCCCCATCGTTGGTGTCAGTGGGGGGAGGAATAGTGCCCCATCGTTGGTGTCAGTGGGGGGAGGAATAGTGCCCCATCGTTGGTGTCAGTGGGGGGAGGAATAGTGCCCCATCGTTTGGTGTCAGTGGGGGGAGGAATAGTGCCCCATCGTTGGTGTCAGTGGGGGGAGGAATAGTGCCCATCGTTAGGTGTCAGTGGGGGGAGGAATAGTGCCCCATCGTTGGTGTCAGTGGGGGGGAGGAATAGTGCCCCATCGTTGGTGTCAGTGGGGGGAGGAAAATAGTGCCCCATCGTTGGGTGTCAGTGGGGGGAGGAATAGTGCCCCATCGTTGGTGTCAGTGGGGGGGGAGGAATAGTGCCCCATCGTTGGTGTCAGTGGGGGAGGAATAGTGCCCCATCGTTGGTGTCAGTGGGGGGAGGAATAGTGCCCCATCGTTGGTGTCAGTGGGGGGGAGGAATAGTGCCCCATCGTTGGTGTCAGTGGGGGGAGGAATAGTGCCCCATCGTTGGTGTCAGTGGGGGAGGAATAGTGCCCCATCGTTGGTGTCAGTGGGGGGGGAGGAATAGTGCCCCATCGTTGGTGTCAGTGGGGGGAGGAATAGTGCCCCATCGTTGGTGTGTCAGTGGGGGGAGGAATAGTGCCCCATCGTTGGTGTCAGTGGGGGGAGGAATAGTGCCCCCATCGTTATGGTGTCAGTGGGGGGAGGAATAGTGCCCTGCCCCATCGTTGGGTGTCAGTGTGGGGGAGGAATAGTGCCCCAATCGTTGGTGTCAGTGGGGGGAGGAATAGTGCCCCATCGTTGGTGTCAGTGGTGGGGGAGGAATAGTGCCCCATCGTTGGTGTCAGTGGGGGGAGGAATAGTGCCCCATCGTTGGGTGTCAGTGGGGGGGAGGGAATAGTGCCCCATCGTTGGTGTCAGTGGGGGAGAATAGTGCCCCATCGTTGGTGTCAGTTGGGGGGAGGAATAGTGCCCCATCGTTGGTGTCAGTGGGGGGGGAGGAAATAGTGCCCCCATCGTTGGTGTCAGTGGGGGGAGGAATAGTGCCCCATCACGTTGGTGTCAGTGGGGGGAGGAATAGTGCCTCATCGTTGGTGTCAGTGGGTCAGGGGAGTCATGGAATAGTGCCCCATCGTTGGTGTCAGTGGGGGAGGAATAGTGCCCCATCGTTGGTGTCAGTGGGGGAGGAATAGTGCCCCCATCGTTGGTGTCATTGTGGGGGGAGGAATAGTGCCCCATCGTTGGAGTGTCAGTGGGTGGGAGGAATAGTGCCCCCATCGTTGGTGTCAGTGTGGAGGAATAGTGCCCCATCGTTGGTGTCAGTGGGGGGAGGAATAGTGCCCCATCGTTGGTGTCAGTAGTGGGGGGGGAGGAATAGTGAACCCATCATTGATGTCAGTGTGGTGAGGGGGGAGGAATAGTGCCCCATCGTTGGTGTCAGTGGGGGGGGGAATAGTGCCCCATCGTTGGTGTTCAGTGGGGGGAGGAGGAATAGTGCCCCATCGTTGGTGTCAGTGGGGGAGGAATAGTGCCAATTAAACCCATCGTTGGTGTCAGTGGGGGGAGGAATAGTGCCCCATCGTTGGTGTCAGTGGGGGAGGAATAGTGCCCCATCGTTGGTGTCAGTGGGGGGAGGAATAGTGCCCCATCGTTGGTGTCAGTGGGGGGAGGAATAGTGCCCCATCGTTGGTGTCAGTGGGGGGAGGAATAGTGCCCCATCGTTGGTGTCAGTTGGGGGGAGGAATAGTGCCCCATCGTTGGTGTCAGTGGGGGGGAGGAATAGTGCCCCATCGTTGGTGTCAGTGGGGGGGAGGAATAGTGCCCCATCGTTGGTGTTCAGTGGGGGGGAGGAATAGTGCCCCAATCGTTGGTGTCAGTGGGGGGAGGAATAGTGCCCCATCGTTGGTGTATGTGGTGGGAGGAATAGTGCCCCATCGTTGGTATTAGTGACACAAATGATGGGGCACTATTCCGTCCCACTGACAGTGCCCAATGATACTTACCTTAGCTGACCCCTGCTCACATAGCCTGGGCTCGCTCGCTGATCCCTCCCTCCTCCATGGTACAGACACCTTACCGTCAGGGCTATGTCTTCCTTCACCGGCCGCTCTCCTCCTCTTCACTCGCGCTCCTCGAAAATCTTCGCAGGGGGTGGCGGTGCCGTTCGGCTCCTCCTCTCCAAGCTCCATCTCCTCGCCGGTGATTGCCGCCTGTGTGTGCCTCTCCTGAGCTACAGGTATCCGGCGGCCAATCACCGGCGAGGATTGATCCCGGGGGTGTGTCCAGATGACAGGGGCGGCATGTCATCCCGCCCACACCTGGAGACTGATAGAGGAGCGGTGTCTCGGTTCCTAAAGACCATCGGAATATGTGTTTTTCCGATGGTCTTAGGCGACCCCTGTGAAAAGGGTCGTTCGATCCCCCAGGTTGAGAACCGATGATCTAGGAGATAACACTCATGTTATACTTTCCTGCTCTGCTCAGAGAGGTCCTGATCCTCCTCCTCTGGGGTTCCCTGCTGGTGCTCTCAGCTGCTCCTCTTCACCATGTGTCACCAAACGCAGCTGCTTCCGTTAGTGGTCACGTGTGGGCTCGATCCTGAACCAGACTGTGTGCATCTATTGACATACACAGTGCAGCTTGGCCCAGCCCCCTCACAGGATTAGATTGACAGCAGAAAGAGCCAATGGCTGTGAGGAGAAAGAGGGAGAGAGTGCTACTGCACTTGGGCACAATGCTGGATTGCTCAGGTAAGTATTTGGAAGGGGGCTGGGGAGAGTTGAACAGTTTTTTTTTTTATCTTAATGCAGAAAATGCAATAAGGTAAAAGAAAAAAAAACTTTTCCCTTTACAACCACTTTAAGTTATTTTCCGGTCATCACTGCTTCTATGACAGGTCCTGTGTGTGCAGAAAGCAATCAAGAAGTTTAACTCCATTTTTTCTTCATACAATACATGCAGATTCAGATGACTGGGATGTCCTCAAACAGTATTAGTATTAATGAGAAGGTAAAACAGTGATAAAAACAGAACAACCTAAAACAGAATAACCAGGAAAAAAAAACCTCAAGAGAGCCAGACTCAGTTCCAACAGCTGTTTGAAGCACCTTAAGATGAGGTGGTAGATAATGTATAAGTTCTGGCACACAAGGAGATCAATTCTTGTATGTATCTACATTCAATGTACACTAAGCACAGGGATAATGCATATGTCCTTCATAGTCCAAAAGTTCATATAGATAATAGTCCTAATTAGCACCGGTGGCAGCCATCCTTAGCATTTGTCCAGCTCTGTGTAACAAAATAAAGAGAAGAGAGCGGGAGGCGCCAGCTAAGTGCACTATTAAAATGAGGCATTTATTCACACAAGATTAAAAAAACACTCACAAGATGATGTGCAATAGTACACTCAAAGTACGGTGTCACCGCTCACTCCTATCCTGCAAGTCCCGCCACTGCAGTCCAAGAATGAAGATGGAACTGATGGGGCCAGGGCGCCCTGTGTACATCATGAAGTCCACTGGATCCAGTGTAGAGCGCACAGGTGGAAGTGACAGGAAGGAGGAGAGGCCAGAATAAACGTCAGGCTACACGCTTGTGAGTGTTTTCAATCTTGTGTGAATAAATGCCTCACTTTAATACTGCACTTGGCTGGCACCTCACCCTCTCTTCGCTTGAAGACCAGGTGGCAGCCTTACAGATTTGCAATGCATAACCTTGAAGTTGAAAAGCCCAGGAAGCACTAATAGTTAGAGTAGAATAAGCCTTTACCAGAAAAGGGAGAAACCCTATTCTCTGTTGAGTAAGTCTGGACCACATCCTGATGGAACCACCTAGGAATAGTGAAACGAAACAGAGAGAGCCCCTTGCAAAATCCCTCCATGAGCACAAAGAGGGAATCCATTGTCTCATCATGGCCAAGGTAGCAAGATAGACACTAAAAGCTCAAAATACTTTGAGAGAGTTGAGTGCCACCTACCAAGGGTGCTACAGAGAAGGGCAAAAGGATTTAAGTACAATGTCCCGAGTGAGATAAAGAACTTATGATTGTTGGGAGTGGAAGGGGTTATATGAGGGTCTTCACCGCTTTTTTTGCGAGTGTCCAATCACCTGAAGGTACCAGCCTATAACTCCGTCACCCCTGAATCTGCCCATGTCCTGCACAAATAAAAAAAAGTTCTGGCTGTGCTTTATGGATTCTCAAAATGTACTGAAAAATAATAGTCTCTTTGTGGCTGATATATCAAAATTTTATGCAAACCTTTCCTGAGAAAAATGCAGGTGTTTCAACTAATGACCTCCTGTAAAAAAAAACTGCTGCCTGGCTATTATAGTTATCCACTGTCCCAGCACAAGTATAGAAAATTGGGAAAACTGGAGTAAAGTCAATATCTGACTCAAGTATTAAAGCAAGAGATTCACCATGACACTCTGGTATTTTCAGAATGAGAATCCAGCAATAGCAGCATTTGTGTTTCTCACAGGAAAGCTTTCCCTTAAAAGAAGCAGGGCAATTGCACAGATAATCCTCTGGGGACTGATTTATACATTTGTAAAGCATATACAAAATAAATTGACAGATAAGCTTGTAAAAATGAGAAAATCATATCAAGGATTACTTTCAGGTAAATCACTCATATTCTGTATTTACTGAAAATAAATATAACCTTTGAAAATTAAAGTCAGCCAATAGTGGTGAGTAACCCATAAACGATTCATCACTAAATTTGTACAAGATTACAGATGAAGGAAAGGGAACAATACTTACTGGGAAGATCAGCAAAGAAAATTTGCTTGAGAAGTTCAACTTCTTCTTCTGGCCCTGATTCAGAAGATCCAAACACATCACCCTCTGGCCAAACTTCCCTGCATAAAAAAGGGACAAATGGTAAGCTTTACAACATATTTTATTCACATGAACTAAAAATCTGTAGGTCTGCTGATATAACCATAGCAGCACAAAGCTTACCTGGCAGAACGGAGCAGAACAAGAGACTCTGCAGCTTGCCCACTAAAAAGGCCATTCTGAATTCGCACCAAAGCTTCACTTCTTTGTTCTTCAACAGGTATTTCAGAGGCTGCATCAAAAGGAACAACTTCTTCTGGTAGACTTTCTGCACCCTAGTTTAGTTGAACATGAAAATCAGGAAAGAAATCTCATCCAAAAATACAAATGGTTCCTAGCAGCAAACAGGCATTACCGTAGCACAGCTGCTCAGCCTCACAGAAAGTGTTTTCCAAATTTCCTCCAACTCTTCTGGACTTTTTTGTTGCTCTTCACTCCTGCTGGGTTTCTTCTTTTTCTTTCTTTTCACTCTACGGTTCTATGCAATGAGAACACAGACATTAGACTTCCTGTTACTGGACACTTGTAGAAGTTATCATCAGCAAATTTACGACACTCTTCAAAGCCCTGGATAAGACCAGAAATTACATTATAGTGCACAATGTGGCAATGTACAAAGTGGAGTAACAAATCAATCAGATTTCAGTTTTTGGAGTCAGACTGAAAAAAAAAACAACAAAAACATTATTCTGGTTTGTTGTTCTGGGTTACAGCAATTACAATATTCCTCACTGCATTATTGAAAGAACCCAGCTACACAGTAGCATGATAGCAACACATAGAAACAAACCCATTTCATTGTAGATATTACCTGGACCACTATCGTTCGCTTTCCTTTGCAAAACTTTTCCAACATCTTCAGAAACAAATGAGTTGTTTCTACCAAATCTTTTAAGAAAGATCGCGGTTGTTTTGTTTCATCAAACTTTCTAAACAGTGCAAGAAACAGCTCTCTATATTCCATCACATAGAATATGTTGTCTGAGGATACAAAACACAGAAAAAGACTTACAGCAATACAACATTTAGACTGTAAACAGTTCTATCAACATACTATACTATATTAAGAACAGCAAACAACGTAAATTAGGAGTCATCAAAGCTCAGTATAACTCACTTTTAATAACTTTGCTACTGTCTCGCACAGATTCATCCTTAGAATGATCCATTTCATTGATGGTAGTGATAAGTTCTTGATAAGCTTTTAGGGCAAGATGCATTCTGCATTTACAAAACAGATATGAAAAATGGTTTAAAATACTGTTGAAAAGATGACAAACAAATCTTTTAGTATTTAATTAAATGCTTCCAACCAGAGCTAAATATAAATCAATACACACATTCAAACAATTAACCTAAAATGAGGCACATGGCATGGCATACAATTCAATATGTATTTTTTTGTCATTAGGGCATTGAAAGAAAAAAAATTTCAGCACTGTACACTGTGACAAAACACCAAACAAAAGTAAAAACCATATCTAGGGTTTCTGAAATGTGTGTTGGTTCTGGCCAAATGTTAATTGCCATTGAGCATTCTGATAAGAATCCAATAAGGTGCCAGGAAAGACCAACCATAAAAACACTGTACATACACATGTGTAGCATGAGACAAACAGGCAGACATATTACACATTCAAAAGTGTTGAATAGCAGTGGTGGCCTTAGCTCTGCCACAGAGCAAAGACTGGAATCACTGCCCACCAGAAACCCAAGTATTTCCTGCATTTACAAGGTGATCTTGGTCTGACTCCCTCAGCTTTAAAGGATAAGTTAATCTTTTAGTAAAAAATAATAAATGCACATTTTTTTGCAGGTAAAAAAAAAGTGCATTTATTAGTTTTGTCTGCAGGAGCCTGTAAAGCATTGCACCAGCGATCAGCAGATCGCTGGTGCCATGCAGGTCTCCTGCAGATCTGTCGGTATGTCTGTTTGCCCGTACGGGGTGGACAAGCAAGCAAACATGTCGACAAGAAGAATAAATTAACTACCACGGCGCTCCACTGCGCCGTGGTTGTTTACTGAGGACTACAAGCTGACATAGCTAAGGCTGTCAGTCTCTCTTCAGAGGACTGTAAATGAGTGACATGGCCAGAGCCCCGCACAGCACACAAAATTTGACGTCATATGACATCCTTGGGTTGCAGTGGTTATGTAACTGCAGACATCATCCCGGTATAAAACTTGTCTGCTTCTAATTCTCTGTTTAGCAGAAGAGATACGAGTTGCTGCACAGCCACTCGATCTCTTCTGCAGGTGGCGGAATGGTGTGCCCTTCATGACGCTGCCTTTCCTGGGCTCACCCATCCAATTGCAGAGTCTGGGACTGCTGCGACTGGCCGCGGTACTGCACAGAGAGGAAACTATGCTGTTCCTCCCACTCTGTGGCCCCGGAAACCAGAAGTGACAAAGATTTCGTCACTTCCAGTTTTGGTTCTTTGTTTACCTGACCGTTAGCAGCCAGGTAAGCAACTGATCAGTCCAATCTGTGTCTGATCGGCTGCACTGGAGGTCAGTGGAGAGATTTTAGGTCTAATAGATCCCAGGTCTCTCCATAAAGAGGACCTGTCACAGCCCATGCTTTCACAAGGGATGTTGTTCATGCCTTGTGAAAGCAATAAAGTTGATTAAAAAAAATTAAAATAGCGTAAACTAAAAAAAAAAGATAAGAATAAAAATTAAAGCACCCCCCTCCCACCGTGCTTATGCGTGAACACATATGCAAGTCCCGCACAGATATGTAAATGGTGATCGCACCACACTTGTGAGGTATGGTCGTGAACATCAGAGCGAGAACAATAATTTTAGCTCCAGACCTCCAGGGTGTAACTCTAAACTGCTAACCTGTAAAGGCTATTAAAGCATTGCCTATGGAGATTTTTGGGTGCTGTAGTTTGGCACTATTCCACAGATGTACACAATTTTGAAAGCGTGACATGTTAGGTATTTATTTGGTGCAACATCATCTTTAGTATTTCAACAGAAATTAGGTATTCTATAATGTTTGTGTGAAATAACATTCATCAAAGTGTATTTCTCCCAAAAAAATAGAGTTTGAAAAACAGCTGCGCAAATACCGTGTGACATAAAAAAATTGCAACACCTACCCTTTTATTCTCTAGGGCCTCTATTAAAAAATATATAATGTTTGGGGGGTTCTAATTAATTTTTCTAGCAAAATAATACTGATTTGTACATGAAGGAGAGAAAATGTCAGATTTGGCCCGGTAAGGAACTGGTTAAAGTAAACACTGCAACAATAATAACTTAAAATATGTGATCACTGAAAATACAACATACGACCCCCCCACTTTTTATAACTATTCCATTAGCTGTTTGTGCATTTCTCTTCGAAAACTAAAGGGAACATTACTGTGAGAGAAATGAGGCGTCTTATTTGATTCATGCATTTGACTACTGGCGACCTACTATTCATTGACAATATTAGAATACAAAAAGGTATCCTACCTGCGTGCCCAGGATGTAGCCTCTTTTTTGTCTGTCAGCATCATTTCATAGTAGTTGGTGAGGTTTTGCTCTATGAAATGGAATGTTCTTACACTAACAGTTTCAGATACAAGTTCTGGTCGAAAACGGAAGAGTCTATTGAAAGCCATAAAGAAAGCCATAGACCACAAGTAATAAGTCTCATCATGCTGTTGAGCCTTCTCTCGAATTAGGTGATCCTATAGGAGGGGAACCCGACAAATCATATAATGAAAGTCTGTGACTTGGCATAAAACAAAAGTAGTGGACAAAACAGCACAGTTGAATTAGTGGTTAACACTGTGCCCCTTGTGACACTGAAGTGCTGGGTTCAAGACCAACCACACTAAGTGGAGATGATTGAACTCAAGAATATACCAGTTGTTGTGGAAACGTGTCATTTTCATCTTAAAATTACTAGTTTTCTAAAATACCTAGAACATGTTTGGGGAAAAGGCATGCCAGAACTCTCTAATTGTTCTGTGTCAGTAAGTAATTAAAATGGAAACCAGAGGATCCTCACAAGATAAAGAAAATTAGCATTTTCAATAATTCGTTAAGTAATTCATCAACAACAGGCCTTAGCCAGAAAAAGCATGCAGATCAGTAAGATCAGAAGTACTTTTCTGCATAGTTGTTGTAGGTTGCCAACTCATTTTTGAATGAAAAGGGCCAGAACCAGAAATGCCAAGCAAATAGCATTTTCAAGAGAGATCAATAATGGCAGCACCCATGTTTTTCTCATGAGATTTAGTAGAAGTCCAAAAAAAAAAGAGAAAAAAAATTGGGCCCCTGAGCAGTTTAAGTCATAACGCAACTCATACTAGCACAGACTTACCTTAAAATGAAGCTCTCCAGAAGCGCAGTCACCGATGCTTCCAACTTCACCTGGGTTCTCGCTCTGAGCCGCAATGATGTCACTACCATGTATACACATGGGTGTCATGGATGTGGCACAGTGCTCCCAATAGATGTCACCAGCCTCTACAAGTATGAATATCTACTAAACAGTACATGTTTAGAGATATTAACTGAACCTACAGGTAAGTCTTATTGTAGGTAAAAGTCATAAAGCGGAGTTTACTACCCCTTTAACTGACACCCATCTTCTCCATTCTATAGCGAAGTAATAATAACAAAACAAAAAACCTGAAGAATGCTATTGGTTAATAAGAAGGGTAGCTATATGTTTGGCATTACTGATGGACTACAACTAAATCTTGGCTAGACACTTGCCATATACAAATAAGGTTCCAAATAAACACATCCCAGAAAAGAGAATGATACCACTCTAGATAGCCTTGGCTCACCTTCACAATGTACATAAGCCTGTTATAACAGTTTTCCAGGAAATCCACACAAAACTCCTTGAGGAAAAGACGCACATTGAATGCAGACCGGCGGTGGACCTCTGTGTCCTTGGCTTGCAGCTTTCTTTTAGGGACTCTCCTTATATTTTTTCCAAGATCGGGAGTATAATTTTTGAACTGTTAAAAATGCAGCAACACCATTACTTGCTATAATTTTTTAGGGAATAAAAGAAGCACCTTAGTCTGATTTTCCCAGTGAAAGATCAGCTTAAAGTAAACCGCCCTTAAAATTATGTTAATGTATTACATCTCTGTTTCTAATTTTAGATTTTAATCATCTTTGTAGAATGTGGACAGCTCTTTGGGGCCTCCTATGTCACTCTTGACTGAAAACAGATTGTCTTCAATAATGACAGCCACCACATGGCCCTACCCTGGGAGCTGGATCAGTTTTCTTTTTTTAATTTATGGTAAAGAAAATCAAAGAAATTATGTGATTTGTTATTGCTGATGTGTGTCCCACTGATTCATGTAAAGCATCAATTTTAAAGTAAACCTGTAACGGTTTAAAAAGTATTTAAGATTAACAATTTTGCATAAGTACAGTTTGTACCATCCGAAAAGAACGGTTTTAGGTGTCCTTTTATGAAAGGGAGATCAGCGGTGATCCTGAGGATCGCCTGTGTGCCTCCAATCCTGCCGTTTTAGTGTGTGGGGGGCACAGGTGCAGTGTCCAGCCCTGCTGTCTGCAGCCTGTCAAAGTCTATGGCAGGCTGAAATATGCATGTCAAAATACCTGCTTTCCAAGCATGCGCCCCTCAATGCAAACAATGTTAAATGCGAGTACCACTCAGTACAGCTTTCAGCCCTGTCCAGCCGCACTGTATTTCAGCCAGCCACAGACATTGACAAGCTGAAGGCAGTGGGGGTGGATGCTGCACCGGTGCCTCCTGAGAGCAATAAAACATCAGGAATGGGTGCACACAGGCTAAAATATCTAGTGTGCAAGGGTCCTAGGCACTACCAGTTTTCTGCACCTTAACATTATTTTTTTTTAACTTAAAAACATATTAGGCCCTGACGAGTTCACTTTAAACTGTACAATTAGAAGACAAAAAGCAGGAAAAATAGAAAATCAAAAAGTATAGGAGAGTGTAAGTAAAAGTCACCCCTAGTTTCAGATTTGAAGGCATACTACCTTCCCACCAACAGACTACTTAAAAAGTGTTGAATTTAGAAGCAAATAGGGTCCAAGTTGACACTTACAGTGTGAAGTCCTTTGTGGTATATTATATCTTTATCCCCAATTGACTTTAAACCCTGAATAATGTAAGAGCCACCAAACCGTGAATGCCTGTGAACAGAAAACAAAACTTACTTTTACGTCCGTTGCCACACTGGTCAGATTTCAACCTCGAAGATCTGTGGACCCTGTAATATATCTGTCTAAAAGTATCACTTTACGGCTTCCACAAGATAGTCACTTAACCACTACCGTGCACTTATACCCCCTTCGCGCCCAGGCCAATTTTCAACTTTCAGAGCTGTCACACTTTGAATGACAATTACGCGGTCATGCAACATTGTACCCATAAGAAATTTTTATCATTTTTTTTTCACACAAATAGAGATTTCTTTTGGTGATATTTATTCGCCACTGGGTGTTTTATTTTTTGCGTTATAAACAAAAAATAAAGAGCAAAAAAATGTGAAAAAAAAGTTTCTTTGTTTCTATTATAAAATGTAGCAAACAGGTAATTTTTCTCCTTCGCTGATGTGCGCTGAGGCTGCACTGATGAGGTGGCACTGATGGGAATTGATGATGCTGCACTAATGAGGTGGCACTGATGGGAATTGATGATGCTGCACTGACGGGCAGCACTGACTAATGGCAATGACTGGAGGCACTGCTGGGCACTGACAGGTGGCACTGATGGGCGGCACTGCAGGGCACTGATCAGTGCCCTGATTATCAGTGCTGGTTATCCTCTGTGACAGCTGCCGGTTATCGGCAGTACTTTCCTCACACTGTGACAGCGTGAGGTAAGTGCTGCTGATAACCGACAACTGTATTTACTCCGTGATCTGCTGTATTATTGGACACAGCTGATCATGTGGTAAAAGGCAGCTGTGATTGTGTGGCTGTGATTGGCGTTTTACCTCATCACGTGATCACCTGTGTCTGTAGGACACAGCGATCACAGAGATTGCCGGATGCGTGCCCCTGGGGGCGTGCGGGAGGGCACGTTCTGAGAGGACATCATATGACACCCTCCCAGAACTGGGCAACTGCGCTGTAGCCGTCATTCAGCTATAGCGTGGTTGCCAGGTGGTTAAATCATCTTTCCAACATATGCCATGCAAATCTTTTATTGCCTTTATGAATACAGGCAGTACCCGGATTACAAACAAGATTCTGTAGGTTTCTGTTGAATTTGTATGTAAGTTTGAACAGGTACATTATTTAATTTAACTCCAGCCAAAAAATATTTTTAAGTTTTGAATAGCATAGGAAGGTTTAACTGGCCATACAGTGATGTGGGATTGCTGACACGTCCACCAGACAGGTGGCAGCATTGGATGAGCAGCAAGATGGCCATGTGCTGGTTTTGAGGACCAGCATAACATTACATTGCCTCCGTTCTTAAGTACGAGCCGCATGTAAGTCGAATGTTTGTAACTCAGGTACTGCCTGTATAGAGAGGTCATGGAGCCCATTAAAACTAATAAATTGCACATGAGGTAAATAACTGATATGACTGTACTCACAAAGGGCAACCACATAGATATGCAAAAACATATTTTCATGCATTTGTGTATTTGTCCAGTTCTGCTAAATGGGAATTTTGATTCTCACGCTTTTACAGAAATGATTGCTTTAGAAAAATAAGACTAGAAAGATCAAATGTCCTTGAGCAAAAGGCACAACTCCACTACATGCCAATAGAGAGATTCTGCATGGGCTAGTACAGTAAAAAGTCAAGTGGTGCTTGGCTCAGACAACTGTGAGCAGGATCATGGTTCATAGCCGGAGTCTGTCCCCTGTACCACCATCAAAAAAAAAAAAAAAAAAAACCCCAAAAGCACTAGGACTGATAACACCTGACACAACTACTGCTTAGTTTGCTTTCTTTATACCCATTATAGTAATGTAGGTGACCTATTCTTCATGGATTTAATATTTTGAAGTCTCACCGTGTGCCACGCTGAAATACTCTGCTTTTTTTATCTGCCATTTCCCTCTGCCGGAGGATCTCCAGTTCCTTCATATCTGTCACTCTTTCTACAGAGGAACGTGCCTGGCCAGTTGATGCCAAGTGCTCTGCATTCTAAAGGGCAAAAATAATTTTATTAAAAAAATAAAATGTTATACATTAACATACATACACACGCACATATACATATGTACACACATACACACACATATATATATATATACACACACACATATACACACACACAAACATACATACACACACCAACCGCACTGTAATTAATACATACTATTACTAACAAACTTTCAAAAAGGAAATATTGCATCTGAATATTTTTGGGGTTTACAGAAATATACAGTCAGCCTTTTAAGGACTTTTTTAGGGATGCAATCCCGTCACTGCTTGCTAGTAAATAGATTGGAAGCTCCAAGGACCAGGGCCCTCCTAACCCTCTTGTATTGAACTGTATTGTTTCCCTTTATATTGTAAAGCGCTGAGCAAACTGTTGGCGCTATATAAATCCTGTATAATAATAGTAATTGATCACACAATGCAGCACATGAACAATACAGCACACAGTCTAATTAGAAGCATCAAAATTTCTGTTATACACTCTGCACCTGTACAGTTATGGTTACAGACAAAATGTTCAAGCACTCTTTGGCTACCATGAAATTTATGACCCAAAAAAAAAAAAAAAAAAAAAAAAAAAAAAAAGCATATTTTCTTTTTTTTTTTTTCCTAATGTCCAATCTCTATAGGACAATAACAATGATATACAGAAAAAGCTTAAAGAATAAGTTCACCTTTGGGAACATGTTTTTAGGGTGGAACATGTAACATGTTCCCATAGCCACAGCCGCTGCACCCACCCCGACAGATAATACAGAGAGACGTTTCGCTGTCCTATCTGCCTCTGCCCACATGGCCGCATCATTCATTCACGGACTTCCGTGAATGAATGAACAAACCAAGTCCTGGCATCCTTAGCGGCTGTGGGCTTGTAGCTTTCGTTGAACTACAAAGGCGCTGTGGAGCACTGTGGTAGTTCACTGAAGCTTCCTGTCAGAATATCTGATTGCTCGTATATCTCGTACAGAAAGCAGATATTTTGACAGGTCTGCGGGAGACCTGCATGGCATCAGCGTCCCCCTGTCAAAACCCAAAGGCACAGTGGGGGAGATCACCGCACTAACATCGTGTGTGTTAGTACGACGATCTATCAGTTTCGGGTTTTTTTCGTTCAGTGTTGAACGGAAACAAAAAAAAAAAAAAAAAAAAACTTCTAGTGTGTAATAGTCTACTTACTAAAGTAAAAGAAGAATCTTGCAGCCACTTACCTGATCTCGGAACATGAGTGATACAGTTTCCAGCACATGCATGCTCCATTGCTGCTCGGTTTCAGAGCTAGCCAAAAACTTCACAAGGTCATCCATCCCACTCATGTGGATTGCCCACAGGACTCTATCATGAATGCTTGCATCATCATCAACGCCCTGGAATACAGCACACAAGACATGTGTCCACTCAGAAACTCAACACAGCATAGGATTTCCAAAAAGTTTAGTAGTACTCTAAAGGATTAGCCCATTCAAAAGTGTTATTTTAGTTATATATGGAAGTGTGAGGTGCTAAACACCAGTTTCTCCTTTTAGCTATAAAGATCTATAGGAGGATTACCCAGTCGTAGATCTACACTATAGTGCCAAAAGTATTGGGACGCCCCTTCAAATCAATGGATTCAGGTGTTCCAATCACCTCCATGGCCACAGGTGTATAAAATCAAGCACCTAGGCATACAGACGACTTCTACAAACATTTGTGAAAGAATGGGTCGCTCTCAGGAGCTCAGTGAATTCATGCGTGGTATCATGATAGGTTGCCACCTGGGCAATAAGTCCTTCCGTGAAATTTCCTTGCTACTAAATATTGCACGGTCATGTGCTAGTGGTATTATAACAAAGTGGAAGCAACTGGCAACAGCAGCAACTCAGCCACGAAAAATAACAGAGTGGGGTCAGTGCATGCTGAAGTGCACAGAAGTCGCCAACTGTCTGTAGAGTCAATAGCTAAAGACCTCCAAACTTCGTGTGACCTTCAGATTAGCACAAGAGCGCGTAAAGAGCGTCGGAGGTATTTCCAGGAGCGCGGTGACGTCACTTATGGTGTGGGGGCCATATTTGAAATCCCTGTATCAATACCCATGCAATACATCCATAGCATGAGGTAAAGAGCTATGTTAAAGAAGAAAGAACATGTGAGTGGGCAATTTTCTCCTGTTTACCAAATAAATATGCGGTTTTACACTATGGACGTTTTTGTTTGTATATGATCCGGAGGTTGTGGCTGACAGAGCTGTGTATATCGGAGGACCTGGGAGTGAATGTGAACAGGATCCAGAGGACATTCAGAGGGGTTCTGATTCTCAGAGCGAGCTGACCCTGTAGGGTCGATTTAAGGAGGTGAGGGGGCACTTCGGCTAATTGAGGAATTACACGGAGTGAGCACCTGATAGCACTTGCATGGACATTATTACCTGTGCACTTTTTATGGACATTTGACGTGTTGTGTTGTTTTTATTCACAGCAGAATGTTTATTTGATGGTTTTGGTTTTGAGTGCTGATATAACACGAATCACATTCACATATATTTTTGATATTTTCAGTGGGCATATATATGTTGCACTTTTAATAGTTTACTTTGTTTGTACACTGGGGAGTTTTGTATTAATTGGGAGATATATATATTTATTTTTTCACATTCAAAGCGCTGCACTGTTCTATATATATAGCTTCATGGAATGGGTTTCCGTGGCCGAGCAGCTGCATCCAAGCCTTACATCACCAAGGGCAATGCAATGCAAAGCATCGGATGCAGTGGGGACGGGACTCTAGAGCGGTGGAGACGTGTTCTCTGGAGTGACGAATCACGATTCTCTGTCTGGCAATCCAATGGATGTGTTTGGGTTTGGCGGTTGCCAGGAGAACGATACTTACCTGACTGCATTGTGCCAAGTGTATAGTTTGGTGGAGGGGGGCTTATGGTGTGGGGTTGTTTTTCAGGGGTTGAACTTGGCCCCTTTCGTTCCAGTGAAGGGAACTCTTAAGGCTTCAGCATACCATTTGGACAATTTCAAGCTCCCAGCTTTGAGGGAACAGATCCTGTTCCAACATGACTGTGTACCAGTGCACAAAGCAAGGTCTATATAGACATGGATGAGTGAGTTTGGGGTGGAGGAACTTGACTGGCCTGCACAGAGTCCTGTCCTGACCTCAATCCGACAGAACACCTTTGGGATGAAATAGAGTGGAGACTGTAAGCCAGGCCTTCTTGTCCAATATCAGTGCCTGACCTCACAAATACGCTTCTGGAAGAATGGTCACACATTCCCATGGACATACTCCTAATTCTTGTGGACAGCCTTCCCAGAAGAGATGAAGCTGTTATAGCTGCCAAGAGTGGGCCAACTCAATACTGAACCATACAGTCTAAGACTAGGATGCCATTAAAGTTCATGTGCGTGTAAAGGCAGGTGTCCCAATATTTTTTGCCAATATAGTGTATACTGTTCCCTCACAAGTTGGATTCTCATTCCTCCTACTACAGCAAAGGTATTCTGAGAAGTTGATTGTCTTTTTGCTGCAATCAGCACATAAAATACATTAAGAATCTAACGGGAAGAAAGTAACTAGTCACAGCAGGTAGGGACCTGAGAGACATAGGTAAACTTAGGTGGTTTAGAATGCCGGTATCTACCTAAGCTGAAAAGAACTTTTAGGTGGACTAATCATTTTCCCTTCAAAACAGTAGTGGGGCACCCCTTCACCTGGTGAAAAATTAGCAGAAGTATATTTTATAATGTTACAGCAGGTAAATTATAAAATAGAAACCCTTTAAAAGGATAGTGTAATTCTATAGATTAATTTATAGCTAGTATACATGCCTATTTCCACTATTTGCTTCACCTTTTAGGATTCACAACCTGGCGTATCAGTCTTTAGCAAGTTGTTATGGCTGGGTAGTACATTAAATATTCTATAAAGTTTTAACAGCAGCCTAGTGACATTCAGTTTCTTAGGGCCTGCGTGCACACATCTTCACTATATACATTTGTGTCCAAAATTATTCAACCCCCAATGCTGTAAAGGGGTTTAGGGACTATAGTTTACATTTGGAATTGTATTCAGAATCAAATCCTACAAACGTTGTAACTACCCAAATGCAACTAAAATCAATTGTTTATGTAATACAGTAGTAAATGGTTCTTATGTGGTTTCTTCATTGCCACAATTATTCAACCCTTTAAAGACTACCACTCTGAAGAACAGAGGTTCATACAGGTGCTTTCCATCAGGTATTGAAAACACCTGTGGATGTCACCGAGCAGCAATCAAGCATAATAAGCACCAATTAGGCAGCTTTAAAATGACTGTGATACTCAGCTCCTTCTAGACATTTTACTGGTGTGGTTACAAACATGGTGAAGGCAAGAGAATGGTCCAGGAAGACAAGAGAAGAGGTGATTTCTCTTCACAGGAAGGGCAATGGCTATAAGAAGATTGCAAAGATGTTAAACATACCAAGAGACAGCATCATCATTCGCAAATTCAAGGCAAAGGGCACTGTTGAAACGCTACCTGGTTTCGGCAGAAAGAAGATGCTGACTTCGACTGCTGTGCGCTACCTGAAGCGTAGAGTGGAGAGAAGTCCCCGTGTGACTGCTGAGGAACTGAGAAAAGATTTGTCAGATGTGGGTACAGAAGTTTCAGCCCAGACAATAAGACGCACATGCGTAATGAAGGCCTCCGTGCCAGAACTCCCAGGCGTACCCCCTTGCTGTCTCCAAAGAATAAGAAAGTCGACTGCAGTATGCCAAAAGCCATGTGGACAAACCACAAAAGTTGTGGGATAGTGTTCTGTGGACTGATGAAACAAAATTAGAACTGTTTGGGCCCATGGATCAACGCTATGTTTGGAGGAGGAAGAACAAGGCCTATGATGAAAAGAACACCTTGCCTACTGTGAAGCATGGTGGAGGGTCAATCATGCTTTGGGGCTGTTTTGCTTCTGCAGGTACAGGGAAGCTTCAGCTGTGCAAGGTACCATGAATTCTCTTCAGTACCAGGAGATATTGGATGGAAACGTGATGCAGTCCGTCACACACCTGAGGCTTGGGAGACGTTGGACCTTTCAACAGGACAATGATCCCAAGCATACCTCCAAGTCCCACTAGAGCATGGTTGCAGAGGAAAGGCTGGAACATTTTGGAGTGGCCATCGCAGTCACCAGACTTAAATCCGATTGAGAACCTCTGGTGGGACTTAAAGAAAGCAGTTGCAGTGCGCAAGCCTAAGAATGTGACTGAACTGGAGGCCTTTGCCCATGAAGAATGGGCGAAGATACCCGTAGATCGCTGCAAGACACTTGTGTCAAGCTATGCTTCACGTTTAAAAGCTGTTATAACTGTAAAAGGATGCTGTACTAAGTACTAAGATTGAATGTCACTTGGGGGTTGAATAAAACTGATAATGCTGTGAGCACAGAAAAGACATTTGTGGTTATTTCATTATAACTGTTATGTTATATTTGTCTGACCTACAAGTGCCATGTAAATGTAAGCAAGATGACTGAATGATCAAAAGCAATGTCAAACTGGCCAAAACACTCAATTTCAGTGGGGTTGAATAATTTTGGACACAACTGTATTTGTACGGTTTTCCACAAACTTTATAAATATATCAATAAAACTCTACTTCTTGTCAGCACCCACAAACAATACTTTAAGCCACTTTAAAGCCACATGCAACTATTAGGGTAAAATGCATTATGCAGCCAACTGGCAATCCTCGTTCATTCACTGAAATATGTTTGTTTGGCTAACATGGTAACTGCATATCTTTATTCCTCTTACACATACATCCTTTACACAGCTGAAGTTCAGTGAAATACATGGGAAGGAACAGGTGTGTGCACTACCCATAAGAACACTTAAACATGAAGGATCATCAAAATATAGCCAATAGCATTTACATTTACAAGTCCTAAAATCCAATTACTACCTTTTCTTCATCTGGATCAGAAGGCACATGAAGGATATATGCGCACCAAAAGAAGAATCCTTTCAATTAATAAGTTATGTTCTTCTTCACGTTGCTCCCAGTCCTATGAAGCAAAAAAGTTAAAAAAAAAAAAAAAAAAAGACATGCAATTGCAAGTAAACAAAGCTTATAAATTGTGATTAAGACATTAATCCCCATGCACCAACAATCTTAAAGCAGAACTAAAGCCTCCTATCCTATGCCATTTTAGCCTGTGTTTGATTTGCAGTTGCCACTGTGCTGCATATGTGATCAATCATGACACCAGCCTATTGAGGTCTTAAGGACTCATTCACCCCATACTTGCAGGAAAACGGATGGAAACTGACACGCAGATTTCACTTGCAGAGACATCAGTTTACATCAGTTTTCATGCACACTTCAATGAGTTTTACAGATGCTGCAGATTCCTGTGCAGAAAAAAATAAAAATAAAATCGGCACGTGATACTAGTGTTGTGGAGTGAACAGGGCACAGAGAACAATTGATTTTGTTGTGCCCTTGCAGAACGCGTACAGAAAAACGTCTCTGCTCCGTGGTGTGAACGAGTCCTCACTTGCAGGGACTTCAGGTTACATCAGCTGTCAAGCGCTATGTGCCCGATTTACACCACTAGTATCACATGAATATTTTGTCTGCGCAGGAATCTGCAACATGTATAAAACTCATTGGCACGTGCATGAAAACTGATGTCTCTGCGAGTGAAATCTATGCATCAGTTTCCATCAATTTGTCTGTACGTATAGTGTGAATGAGGCCTGCGTGCATGAAAACTGATGTAAACTGGTAAGTTCAGTTGCCAGCACAAGCAAAAAGGTGATTGTTATCACTCACGACATGCCTTGAATATAACTGGTTTTGGAAAACTTAAAAATCGGTGAGTTTAGTTCACAGTTCCCCAATGCTCTAGGAATCTACATTCCTCAAGTGAACTAGCAACGTGAACCACTTTGCGCTCCCAACTCTGATAGCAAACCATCACTGATAACCACAGGTCTCAGAATAATGTTTAAGAAGCAGTTAGTCTGATTACTAATTATGTGATCACCATGACAGCACCATGGTGCTTATGCACAGCTGGAGGTTTGCTTGAAACTTCCTTGGTCTGCAGCTGATTTTGCACCCCTTTCTCTATAGCTCTGTGTACAATCTGTACAAAGAAGAAAATCGTATTAAAAAGTATTACAATGTGTACAAAATGAATTTAACAAATCTCAAATTTTAATTAAAATATATGTGTAAAATAATTAAAAGTGCATTTTTTCACAATATTGGCCATTTCTATGCTTATAATGAAAAGATGAGTACTTATTAAAACGTTGTACCAACTAAAAGCTGTATATATGAAAAAGAAAATAGTTTTCCATCGTCCATTGTGGGAAAGAGGAAGTAATTCACCTCTGAGTTATACTACAGACTACAGAAGGATTGGATCCTGGCAAGCAAAAAATTGTAGCCCAGCCCAGGATAAACTATCCTTTACCTGTATAGCTTAATTTTTCCCTACTGTCCTAGCAGGATGGACATCTTTTGTTCAGCTCTGCTGCAAAAAGCATAGCCTAATTTAGCTAGCCATATTTTTTTATTCAATAGTTTCTTTAATCAAGATTCTTCAATACATCACTGCTAGAGCAGATATCTTTGATGCAGCAATCTAATGTGGTATTTCTCAGCCTGGCTATTGGAATGCCTCGCATGGAATTCAATGCCAAAACACATCCAGTCTTCCAGTATGTCTACAAAGTTAAGAGAGACTGTTTTAACTACTGATGCAGTGCCTACCGCTCTCAAACTAGACGAGAAGCCTGCTGCTCAAGATATTCCTGGTGCAACCACTGTTAAATGTCTTCCTCTCCAAAGATTGGAAACAACATGACAAGGTGATTTCCCTCCCCAAGCACTTTTTAGCCTTGTATCTAATGGAAGAGGACTTTGCTAAGGCAGGACACTACTGGATCCACAGCTGGGCAGACCACTTTTAACCACTAGCCTACAAGACACTTATACCCCTTCCTGTCCAGGCCAATTTTCAGCTTTCAGCGCTGTCACACTTTGAATGACAATTGCGCAGTCATGCAACACTGTACCCGTATGAAATTTTTATCATTTTTTTAGAGACAGATAGAGCTTTCTTTTGGTGGTATTTAATCACCTCTGGGGTGTTTTTTTTTTTTGCTAAACAAACCAAAAACCACTGAAAATTTTGAAAAAGAAGTGATTTTTCTCCTTCACTGATGTGCGCTAATGAGGCTGCAATGATGGACACTGATAGATGGCACTGATGGGCATTGACAGGCATCACTGATGGGCACTGAAGGGCAGCACTGAAAGGTGGCACTGACTGGCATTGATTGGTGGCACTGATAGGTGACACTGAAAGGCAGCTCAGATGGGCACTGATATGTGGCATTTATGTGCACTGGTAGGCACTGATATGTGGCATTAATGAGGCACTGATGGGCACTGATGGACACTGACAGGTGGCACTGCTGGGGCTACACTGATCATCGGGGCACACTGATGCGCAGTTAGAACGGGGGGACGTCATATGACATCCTCCCAGAATGAGAGAACCGCCTTGTACCCATCATTACCTTATATGGCGGGCAGGAGGTAGTGAAATAAATCAGCCACCATTGCCATGAAAGATTCGCCTGTCTTTAGGGACCCAATTGATAACCCAACTGAGAAGTTGGAGGCCTTCTCTAGAGCTCTGTTTTAACTGACAGGTCCTGCTCTTCATCCTACCTTAACGGATAGGATGGCTGACTGGTTAATGGCTAATAAAGGGATGTTGTCACTACTGGGATCAAAGAACATTTGGAGCAAATGATTGCTGCATTACACTAGGTTCACATTTGTGCGGGTGATTGCCACTGCGGGAACATACCTGCTTCCATAGCTGCAACCACCTGCACAGAAAAACACACTGGATGTGCGCAGGTGCCATTAATCCTAATGACATGCCACACACACTGGAAATCTCTCCTGCACTGGGAACCACACCACACTTGTGGTTCCTGTGCAGGCTGTGTTTCCAAAAATGGTGCAGGGAACTTTTCCAATGAATGGGCTGCCATGCCCACACAAAAAGCAGCTCGCAATATCAAAGTGAACCCTAGCCTTAAACTATAGTTGTGACAGGCTTCTGGAGGTTTCCCATCTCCCGCATGGGCCTTCTGTCAGTATACATGGAGAACATGATATGGATAAAGTGTTAGACTGTGAAATCCACAACTAAAAAGTGCCTGCTTTGCATGACCTTCAAGAGTCAACATCTCTTCAGATCCACTATAGATACAATTTAAGGATGCTACTGGTAGCAAAAGCACACGTTTTCTTCAGCCATAGAAGCCTAAGGCACAGTCTGGGAAGGCTCATCCCTCACTGGCGTCCCTCAGGTGGTTTTTGCAGGGGCTCCCAGACCACTACTCTGTTTATTACTTCCAACCTTCCCATGTCATAGCACATACTAGCAGATTTCCAGGCAGCCCTCTCAGGTCTTTTGGATAAAACTTTAATAGCCCCAGTTCCTGTGGCAGAACTGTTTAAGGGTTTTTACTCCAACCTGTTCATGATTCCTAATCCCAAAAGAATGTCTTAAGTCGAACTCAGAAATTTTGCATTGAATCCACCATGTCTGCCATTGCCGCTCTTCGCCAGGAAGATGTTTGTGGATATCAAGGATATGCACCTGCTTATCACAATTTTTTCCAGTGCACCTGCATTTCCTATGCTTTTCTGTGGGTCTCCTGCAGGGACTCTGTGTAAATTCAGGGAATGGAAAAACTCTCTGTCCCTTGCTTTTGGCGCTTTGAGCCTCCCCAACCGCCCCTAAGCCCTGCCAGCACTATGTAAAGCTCACGGCGGTCCAGGAGTCTATTGTTACAAAACACATTACATGCCAATAAAATAGAGATCCACTCACTGTCCCCTATTCCACCAAGGGGGAGGGACACAAGAACAAGAATGGCGCTTACCAGCAGGGATAACACCAGGGTACTCTCCAGTGCACCTCTATGACCTCCTGGGAGGGGGGTCCAATGTTCCCCCATCATGGCTCTATCACAAGGGACTTCAGGGACTTGCTCAGCTTTGGATCACTGCCCCGGACCTGTACATCACCCTACTGGTTCCCAAAGCAATATATCATTGCAGTGTTCAGTGCTGACTAGCAACATTACAGGTCCTCCCTGTGTGTCCATTGCGGAGGTACCATTCCTCTGAGTGTAGAAAAGTTGTAGGAAAATGCTCTAGATAAAGCTAGTCTCCTAATCCCAGATGGAACTTTTGAGAAGCTAGCTCTTCATGCAGAGACTGTACAGACATGACCATCATTTAGGACTCTAGCAAAAAACTAAAGCCTTTCCTAGCTGGGAGGATTTATGCCTAGAAGGGGATTTTCTGTTCTTTTTGCCAGTGTTCAAATCACCTGAAGTTGGAGGCATGATCCTGTTGTAATGGATATGAAGATACTATTTTTGTACTCCCTGTAAAATCCTTTACTTGGGAGTCCCACTCCCCTGTGTCATACTCTCAACATCCCTTTGCTACAAATCTGAGGCAGCCAATACATGAGTCAGTTTTTTTTTTTGTTTAACCAGTAGGTTGAACAAAAAACATTTTTAAAAAAACTGACTCAATTCCACTATCCACACTTAAGGTATTGTATTCTGTCATGGGTAAACTTCTCTGCTGTCAGAATACACTGATCAGCACCGCTGGCTATAGTCTGTGGTGCTGATCATGCAGAGAAAACCTAACACAGCGATTGTACAGATGTTTATTGGTAGATCGACTTCTGTACAAACACAGTGCCTAGACATGGATCAGAATTTGGCTGCTCCCTGTTGAGCCAACCGAAATTTGATCCATGAATGGCTGGCACAAGGCATGCTAGTAGTAGGAGAGGTTATCTTAGATATGTTACATACACAGAATATAACTGGATACTAACATTTATAGGTAAAGTTGATCCAGGGAATATCCGATTGCCTCTCGGGGGATCAGGAAGGAATTTTTTGCAGAAGCAAATTAAATCATTCTTTGCTGGGTTTTTTTGCCTTCCTCTAGATCAACTGTGGGTATAGGATTATAGCTTTTTTTTTTTTTTTAATGGTTGAACTGGATGGACTTTTGTCTTTTTTCAGTCAGACTAACTATGTAAGTATCTTGAACCGGCTAACAATTTCTTTTTTTTTTTGTCAGTGATCTCTCCTTCTGTAGACAGCAGTATAAACTGAATCTCAGAATTTCTATGAGAATAAATTATATTTTATCTTCTCTCCAACTCAAACTATAATTGTGTTAAACTTAAGATATAAATGTAAACTAATGATACGGAAAATTTTGTAAAGTTTACCAAATTATCTTGGTGTCTGTGCATCACAATCGAGCCATTACATTATGTGTTTGTATGTGACTTATTGCAAATAATTTATTTCATAATCTGTAGTCCATAATTACACTGATGTAATCTGTGTTTTAAAGGATTTTTGGTTGGCTCTAAATTACTCAGAATTATTAAGTCAGTTAAAATATTTTATATTATTGCTATATTTTCAAGCACCTTTAGCTGACTGAATTAATTGTCCAGGTGTTGCCTGGCAGAACATATTGTTTTTGGAGGTACTGCTGGATGAATTTTCATCAAAAGCACAACAGTTTCCCTCAAAGGACTCCAAGGAAAAGATTTTATTGAAGTTAAAAAATTCAATTTTCAGTAGGCAAATTATTCACAGTAACTGATGCATAGTGAAGCTGTTACATATAATCTAGGTAACTAGGCTTGAATGACCTTTGGTCATGAAGGTGTTGGGAGGAAAACAAAACTTCATATGAACTTTAACCACTTCCCATTCGGCCCATGTAGATAAACGACCGGACGAGAGCAGTGCAGGAGGCCATTTATAAACGTCCTCCCACATTCCCTGCCTATGAGCGCTCCTTGGGAGCGTGCGACACCTCGAACACCAATCGCTGTACGGGACCTCTGTGTGAGGTCCCGATCATGTAATCACATATTGGCCAATCAGTGATAACATGAATAGTAGTAAGCAAGATGTCACTTGCTGACATCATTGCTTACTACATGTGAAATCTGTGAATGATCACAGAGGTCACATGGTACAAGGCTACTCACAGCAGCATTGTACCATGTAACAAGCTGTAACCCATCACAGCTCTCACAGTATTTCTCAATGGCTGCAAGAATGCAGCCAGAGAGAAGGAGCAATTATTGCTTTTACAGCCTTCATGGATGTAAAAGCAATCCGTGTAAAAAAAAAAAAAAATCTTTATCACCCCCCACAAGTAGTACAGTGTCACTATGGTGACACTGCATTGCTATGGTGACAGTATGTTAAACCCCAAAAAACCCATAAATAATATAAAAATGTAAAAAAAGTTTAAAAATTATAATTTTTGTTTATAAACTAATTTGGTTTATTTTTTTCTTGCTAAAAAGATAGTGGAATACATTTTGGCCAAGATTTATGAAGAAAGATTATATATTTGCAAAAACATTTTTTTTTTTTTTCAAAATGTTTGCACTTTTTCATTTAAATAGCAAAAAATAAAAATCCCAGTGATGAATAAATACCACCAAAATAAAGTTTTATCTATCTCAATAAAATGCTAGAAAATTCATAAGGGTGCAGTGTTGCATGACCGCGCAATTGTTTTTCAAAGTGTGATAGCACTGAAAGCTGAAAATTGGCCTGGACAGGAAGGGGGTGAAAGTGTCCTGACTGTAAGTGGTTAAAAAGAAAGATTTGACATATTATGTATCAGCTCTTACCATTTGCAGCAAATCATAGAGCTTTTCACTCAACACTACAAAGAGTCTCTCATTTGCAAATGCCTAAAAAAACAGAAAAAAAGATTATTAAGGAAGGCGATATTCCCACAAATTCTTAGAATGCATGGTATTCAATGTGTTTTTTTGCAGCACGAAACATTTACTACTTAAGGGTCCAGCACACTTTCCCACAGCCTAAAATGCTGCCTGCACACTAAATTGGTTTGGTTTGCAGGCACCAGCGTTTTGAGCTGCAAAAGGGGGGGGGGGGGGGGTTGGTGATGCACGGTTTTATCACATCACATAGTTCTCTCTTTTTTTTTTTTTTTTTAAACTGTACTTCATGTGAAATGTACAAAAGTGACATTTAATTCATGTCAATGCACAGTGACATGCAGGGACATCCAGGCGGTGCAATATTATGCAAACATGTTGCATAATATTGCACCGCTCTGGAATGCGGTGAAATACTGCATTCTAGTTGTGATGATCGCACGTCAGACCCCTGACCTTCTCACCAAACTCGTGATCGAAGGACTAGCCAATCTGAAAACACGATGTCACGTGTGTAACAATGCCACGCCCAGCTGCACCCTGTATAACAATTTTCCAGCTAATGGACCAAAAATCGATGTACCGGCAGCCTGAATGCGATTGTTACTGGGTCAGGTTAATTACGCAATTAACCCTTCACACTGCCACCACCTCCTTTTTGTACAGAGAAAGTGGAAACTCGGCAATATCAGCAATAACACTATGATGGTTGAGATAATCGTCTGTATAGCACTGTCACCGCAGACAGGTTATACAGAGGGTTAAACAAACACAGCAGCACTCTTTTAGAGGCAGGAATTCATAAGTTGCATTAACGAGCTATAGAAACAGGTCAACGCTTTCAGAAAGAAAGATTTACTGTATTACTAAAAGGTCAAAAGGGTGCAATAAAAAAGATGTAACCAATATATATATATATAAATATACAGAGAACAGCAGCACAGCAAAGAGGTAACAGAAAGGAGGTTAAAGGGTTAAAGTACTTGCCAATCAGCCTTGGGTTAAGCAGATCAAGTTTCAGAGCAAAAGGCACGGTCTCCCAAGTTGGTTTTGATGTTAAATGGGAGAATTCTTCAACTTCCACTCTTAGGCCTGACAGCCTATTTTATAGTCAAGTGAAGCTAAGGACCAATGCCTCCTAGCTCATATCTTTTCCTAGGCACAAGTACCATTCCACCCGTGGGTAGATTAATATGCAGACGCATCTGAGGAACGGTTAGATATGAAATACAGACTTGAATGGTTCAAGAGATGTAATTTTCTGCTTTTACTAGGTATTCCAGTCAGGAAGTGTGACCTATCAAACGATTTGTCTGATCGTGAGCAATCTGAAGATATGCCTGTTTTTATGCAAGTCTCTCATATTCCAAGATATGAGACATAGGGGAAAAATGGATTTTACAAGTGTTATCTAGTTTCTTACTCCTCTGGAATGTCTTTGAACTCAGGGGAAGGCTTGGGTTATCTTTTTATGAGGTGCCAGATTGCTCAGCTTCCCAGCCAGCCCGGCACCCAGCTCAAAGATGGTTTATAGCTCGGAGTTTCCTGCTGTGCCCTGGCCTGCCTGTGACACTTCCCAACACACACACACCGAACAAATGTCACTGTGACTCTCAGAGAGGGAGGGGAAGAATGAGGGGAGATATGTTTGTACAAGATGGACGATCCTTTGCCAAGATGGAGGTTGGAGCCAAAATGGTTGAACCGCGTCCATCTCTGTGTGCATGATTGCTACACTAGTGTCAACATGACACACAGAAAATAGGGAAATGCATGTAACTGCACATATTGTGAAAGGGTCCCAAGTAAACCTTTATTAGCAACCTGGTGACACACCTCCAGATGCAGCAGGTGTAATCTGAACCAAAAACACTGAAGTGTAAAGGTGCAGATGATTAGACAACGAATTCCACTTGATGCATTTATACAACCTTCACTGCACACCAAACACTCAAGAGGATGCTCTAAGGCAGGGGTATTGAATTAAAATTCACCAAAGTCTGGGCAGCAAAATTTTTATCCAGCAGAGGTCCGAAACTCATGTAAGCACCTGTGGTGAATTTCTGTGAGTGCCAAACCACATGTTGCTGTGGCACAATTTTGAAAAAAAGGGTTGTGGACTCCTTTCTCTGACCCTCTTTTGCTGACCTACCCACAATGTGAGCACCAAATGCACATGTACAGATCTGAACCTTACATCAGTGTCCTCAATCCCCACTGCACATCACAGTCCTCTCCCCTTTCACAGCAAGATCCCCTCTTTTTGAGTGTCCTCAGCTCACCCTTTACATTACCTCCTTCACCCCTTTCACAGTTGTCTTCTCCCACTTCCTTGACATCCCCCCCCCCCCACCACCACATTACAATTCTCAGCCCCCCCACTTTATTGTCTTCAGCCCCCACACATCACAGTCCTTAGCCCCCCACATTATTGTCCTCAGCCCCCCCCCCCCCCCCATTTTAATGCCATCAGCCCCTCCAAATCACAGCCCCTAGCCCCCCACATTTCAGTCCTCAACCCACCCCCCACTGCTGTCCTCATTACCCCCACATTATCTCTTCAACCCCCCAACATTCAGCCCTTCGTTTCCCCCCCCACGTGATGGCTGGGGGAAGAAAAGGTTCCTAAATGGTGGGACTGCACCGGTCCGGATGGGGCAGTGACTCGGTCCGCATCCGGACCCCGGTCCACCATTTAGTGATGCCTCCTCTAAGGCTACCTATACAATGAGGACCTACCTCAAGTTTGTGGGTGCTCACAGAAACACCAACTGACCATTTTCGGAGGAAACAATTGATTAGACAGAAGCTGTATCCAATCAGGTTATTTTTCATTGGAAGATATTTGGAGTTAAAAAGGTAAGCGCATATCAATAGGAAAATATCTTCCCAATGAAAAACAACCTCAGACTCCCTTACAGTGTCACCTCCCTTTGATACCCATCACTGAACACACGGCTTATATAAAATTAAGCAGTCATAAGATTTTAAAATCTTGTGTTGAACAGGCTGATTCACATTTTACATTTTTGTATGAACTCACCTCTTTATACGCCTGCAAATAGGACACCACTTGCAAATAATGATGACGGAAGGTGGGATCCTGAGGAACTTTCCCAAAACACAGAAGAGCTGGCTGGGTAAGATTTACCATCAACCTGCAATTTATATTTAAAAAAATGACTAAATAGTTCCATTACAGTTTACATTCCGAGCCATATGTATTTTACAGATTATAAACATAATAGATTACCTAAATAATTAAACTAAAGAATAACTAAATAATTAAACTGACAGAGCAAAATATTTACATATATTATAAACCTTATAATCATCTAAAATATACAATCTATCATGCCATGTTTGAAAGGAAACGTATGGAATTTAAATTTTAGGTTACAGTCATAGGTGTGATATATAAAAGGCTGGCGGTGTGTGGTTTATATTCACATATGCAGACAATTGCAGCCATATATGCTTTTATTTAAACATGCATTTTTGCTTAAAAAGGCAGCACAGCAAATGTGCTATCTACCTACCAATCCTATCAAGGTTTGTTGTACTTAAAGGAAACATGTTATAATAGAACATGGAGGCTGTATTTTTAGAACATGGAGGATGCATTTTTTGCTTAAAAAGACAGTACAGACAATAGCAATTCTATCAAGGTTTGTTGTACTTAAACGAAACATGTTATGATAGAACATGGACGCTGCTTCTTCTGAAAATACAAGTTGTTATACTGCCTAACGCTCTTGCATCAATACTCTGTACAGGATCCAGAAAAAGCATGTACATAAGGACTTATTATCATGATAGATTTAGTTTAACAATCTTTGCAAGGCATAGCATGAAGTGGAGTTATTCAAGGAAGACGTAAACATTAACTAGGAAACAGCCATAGATTAATCTTATTGAATGTGCAGTGTGACAGATTAGCATTACAAAAATGCATATCTTTTGGCTGGTAAAAAAGTAAAAATTAATGTGAAATTTAATGGTGCATTTTGCTGTATGCCCAGCATTCCATCTAAATAGAACTAGAATAAAAAAAAAGTCCACAATGAATAGTGTTTTTAGTGCTAGGAGGAGACTAATCCAGTCATATGACGTCACGTGACTAGCCTCTCATCCTATCACGGAATGTTCTCTGCAGCTTTATGCAGACAACACTCTGTAGAATACCATAGGCTACACACTGTGTCCTGTATATATGAATGAAGTGTAAAATGCAGGCAAAGCATGACATAACACTACAATGTCCAGTAGAGAGCTAAATGAGTCTCCTGGGGGTTGATACAGTATGATACATTGAAAACTTTCATGAAAGGGCAGAACTTTAGATTACCTAATAACAGCATCAAACAGTTGTTTGTCATTATGATGCTGTATGACTAAAGGCACAAGATCATTCTGTAAGATCTGAGCTGCTCCCAGCTGTTGCCGAATATCCCTGGTTTCATCTTCATATCTCAGATAACGGATTAAATCTTTCACACTTTCTATGGAGGAAAAAGTAAACGGCAGTGTGTTAGAAAACCACTAAAAAGCGCTAATGATTGTTTCTATAGATTAAAAAGTGTATTCAAACCCAAGAACAAAAATGTAACATATTGCAGCTCATCAACCCTCTGACGAGGTTGTTGAATTAATTTTCTTATTTTTGGATCCCCCCTCCCCCTTTATTTTTACCTGCTGACCCAGCCAGTAACACACTTCCTGTTTTAGGGTGGCTATGATCCTTCCTCCACTGTATCCATGAAGGAGCAGCGTAGCCACCCCTGGGCAGCAAAATTATCAACCTGAGGAGAGGGTAGTTAGTCTTAGATGGACTAAATGATTTAGATGGACTTTTTATCTAGCAACTTCAACCGCAACTCCAGCTAACATTTTTTAAGCAGCTACAGCAATAGCTTTTTCTTCTTTTCTGACATAAAGGTTTCTTTTTCTTCTGCAATAAAGGTTTGAGGTTCCTGGAGAACCGGCTGACTTTTCAGTCAGTTACTGGCTCTACTAGGGACAGATTGCATTTAAATGAGAAGGGTGCAGTTTTTTTAGGGGATAAATTGGTTAGAAGGCTGGAGAAGCCTTTAAACTAGGATCTGGAGGGAGGGATCAGAAAAGAATATTCCATATGGAGAGCAAGGGTCTAAAGTGGAACAGGACATAGTGGGCGGTGAAATAGTTGCTGGGCTCAAGCTGGATGGCAGAGAAATTGCATCAATCAAGTCCAACACAAAAAGAGTAGTGGAATCAAGTTGTAGTTTAAAAATGAGTAACAAAAGAAAAAACAAAATGAGATAGGTTTACAAATGCAAGAAGCCTCGCAAACTAATTGGATGGATGAACTAGCTTCTGATATTCAAGAAGCACTTTGAAAATTGAAAACCTGGTTGAACAACGTGCACAACTGGGCTGCAAATATCGAGGGGTACACTCTATTTTGGAGGGAAAGAATGGGTAGAAGACGTGAAGGGGCATTTACAGTATGTATGTAAAGAACAATCTGAAAGTGAGTTTGTGAGATGATATTTCCAACAAGAACTCTGATGATGCAGAATCATTGTTGCTGATGAGCCCTAAGAGTGCAAAAAATGGTAAATACGTGTGGGAGTATATAAAAGGCCCCCCTACAAAGGATGAGGAAGGGTCTCAGCCCCTTTCACGGATTAAAATGGTCAGGAAGCAGGGTGGATGTTATTTTTATGGGAAATATTACTTATCTTGATATTAACTGGACAATTGGAACTGCACAGTCAACATAGCCTTGCCATGTCTTAAACATATTGCAGGACAACTTCATGCAACATATGGTGGAAGCCCCAACAAGGAAAATGCTCTCTTGGATCTATTAATTTCACACTGCATTACAGAAGTGCAGGTTAGAGACAACTTGGGAAATAATGATTATGGTTAAATGACATTTGCCATAAGTTACAGGAAATAGAAGCATGTTGGTATGACAAGAATTCTAAATAAAAGACACTTTACTGACTGGAATGGTACTAGCTGATTGGTGTGTGGCAAATGTGGTACCAATTTGCAAAACAGGATAGAGATTTAAACAAGGAAATTACATACCAGTCAGCCTAACGTCAATCATATGTAAGATATTTCAGAGAATGGTAGGGGACTCTATACAGAAATGTGTCTGTGATAAAACGGGTATCATAAGTGAGAACCAGCAGATTTGAGAAAGACCATTCTTGTCAGACCAACCTGTTATTCTATGAGGAAGTAAGTGAGAACTTGTTTATCAGTGGGGCGCGATACTAATTTATTGTGTCCTGCTCCACTGATGACACATTTGTATGGGTATGTGTATGGTGTAAGTGATCTCCTATTTTCACTTATTTTGTGGCACTATTAATTGTATAAAGTTGCCATAGCAGCTCACAAGATTTTATTTATAATTTATGCAGGGAAAGAACTTCAGCACAAGATAGCATCCTTACAGGAAGACCTTAATAAAATTGGGGGTTGGGCAGCTACCTGGCAGATGAGGTTTAACTTTAAATTGAGGAAAGTATTCCTTTGCTGTTAGAGTGGAACTCCCTTCCCCAGGAAGTGGTACTAGCTGAGAGTACTGAAAACTCAAAAATCAGTTTTTTGATGTCTTCCTCAGGGCAAATTTTTCTGCAATTAACTTCTCATGAACAGGTTTGAACTCCCTTCCAGGAAGTTAAGGTCTTAGCTGATGGAAAACATTTTCTCTGACCTGCTCTGCAATGCTGATCAGTGTATCCTGAAGGCAGGGGTGTCCTGCTGCCAGAATACAATGGCACAGAGGTGGGGACTCTTGTATCGCTCTCAAATGTGTGTGATGGCGGAATCAGTTACGTTTTTTTCATTCAGCCCGCTGGGATCAGCTTTGTGTTGGCTTTACATATTCTTTAACCACTTGCCCTCCAGAGGATGTACCCCCCTTCTTGACCAGTCCATTTTTTTGCAATATGGCACTGTGTTACTTTAACTGACAATTGCGTGGTCATGCAACGCTGTACGTAAATGGAATTTATATCATTTTTTCCCCCCACAAATAGAGCTTTCGTTCAGTATTTTTTTTATTTTTTGCACTATAAAAAGAAAAAAAAAAAAAAAAAAAAAAAAAAAAAAAGACAGTCAATTTTGAAAAAAAACGCACACTATTTTTTACTTTTTGCTATACAACACAGCCAATAAAAAAAAAATTTAAAAAAATAAAATTTCTCATAAATGTAGGCCAAGATGTATTTTGCTGCATGTCTTTGCTAAGAAAAAATCCCAATACCTGCAAATTAATTGGTTTACATGAAAGTTAATGTGTCTACAAATGGCGGTATATATACTAGAATTTTTATTTATTTTATACTAGTAATGGCTGCGATCAGCGACTTATAGCGGGACTGTGGCAGGCATTCTCATACTGGGTGGGAACGAACAGCCACTGACATCTTCAGTGACAATAATGATCAGTGCTAATAAAAAGCGCTGGGACTGTACTATTGACACTGCGAAGGAAGAAGTTAACATCTGCGGTGAGCAAATGGTTAACTGTATGTTGTGTTGTGCCTACACTGTGTGGTGTTTTACTAGGGAGACATGATGCTCTCTCTTATTCTGCTTTGCAAAGTTTACACACAGATCTTTCCCTTCTCGGCTTTAGCAGCTATCACGGAGTTCCGGCTGAGAATTGCCAGCCAGGACCCGGTGATTGACATCCGCTGCAACCAAAGGCAGCGCGGCTTTATCTCTTTTTAAACAAGGCTATTCTTCCACTACATTGCAAGTAGAGAACTGATCTTGAAAATCAGCAGCAGTAAACGTTTGATGGCATCTTCTACCTGAACTAAATGTCTTTCACCATTGGATACATCTTTAGAACAATTTTGGCAGGGTTGAGGCGAACAATGCTAATTGCGTATTACGAGAGTAATTTATATTTTAGGTGCCAGGGGAGGACAGGGTTGTGAAGGAGTATATGAGGGTAGGACAGTGCACTAGGAGGTATAGGTGGCAGGAAAATGACTGCAGTCACAATCATGGCAGAGCAAGCAAATATGTGGCTATGCACAGCACATATACAGAACATATTTTTTTAAAGCCCAACTTTGGAAAAAGGTTAAAAATATCCCTCAAGGTGGGGCTGCCCCTACACTGCAATTGTTAAATGCTTGCTTTTTCTAAAGGAGAGCAGAAATAGGTTTACTTACCTGTTTCCTCCACTTCCCTGGCAGATGGTGTGTTCTCTCACACTCCGGAGGTAGACTGTCCCTTGGTTTCTGGAGGACTTCGAGACCTTAGACCGCTGGAGCTAGGGGGAGATGATGTTGTGGAACTGGTCTAGCAGCAGGGAGGAGTGGAGGATTGGGTAAGTAAATCTTCATTTGTTCCCCTAGACATAAACTTACAATTAGCCCTTAAAATGTGGGCACAGCCCCACTGCAAGGGATTTTTTTTAGCTGCCTGGAGTTGGGCTTTAACTATTCTTTTACATTTAACTTTTTAAAGAAATGCTAGCAAGATAAAACGCATTTTGTATAAGTATCTTATGCTCACCAAGGCAATCAGGTTCTTTGTGGTAGGTATCTCCCTCCAGGTACCCCAAGGCACTGCATGTTGCTAACAGTTCACAATTCATCATGTACAAGTCCATAAATTGCTTGCCACGTTAAAAGAAAAAAACAAACACACACTGTGGGTCTCTCCGCTGTTAAATGGAAAAATACATTCAAAGAGTTAGATGATGAAGTATTGACTTGTAGAGAATGTTGTATAAGATATAACTTTATAGCTAAACTCCAGGTATATAGTACACACAGTATATATACTACACATATTTGGAATGATTTTACATGTCAAATTGTAATTTTGTTCAGCCAGTATTGTGACCCGTGGACCTGAGAGAACGGCAAAAGCCTGCACCTCTCCTGCACACTACATTACAGGTGAACAATACAGCTTTCTATAACCAACACCAGCAATGAAGCAGCAATACCCCTCCCATATCTATAAAAGCACAAAGGACTGAATGTGAATGTCTTCCCTAATAGGTACAAACATGCACATAAAAAGGCAAAATGTTGCTTCTTCCTACACATTGTAAATGTTCGAAATGTCCAAAGTAAATATGACTGTTCTTAGGAAATGGAATCACTGCTTTCCTATCAGCACTGAGCCTGAATAAAGTAGTCCTTTCCACCTAGTACAAAGAAATAACTGATCATGGTTGTAATCTTCAGCCAAACAGGGAGTCTGCAATGAATTTAAAATAGCTGACAGGTTGCCTTAAAAAAAAACTACAAGAACATTCTTACCTGATAAATATAACTTCTGGACTGGTGGTTATTCTAAGGGATCAGACTGTCCTGTTAAAAAAAAAAAAAAAAAAACAATAAAAAAAAAACAGAACAAAATATATATTCTATCAAGCTTGAAAAAGTAAATATAACCAATTACAACTGGTCTTACACAGGAATCAATTTTGTTTTTTTTTTTTTGTTTTTTTAAGTAAGTTAACTTACCTAATGTATACATATATAAGGTTTTATATTTATTCTTAACTGCTTCCCAACTGCCCTATAGCAGAAAAACTGCTACAGGGCGGCACGGGTGCGCAAAAACCCCTATATACGTAATTCGCGCTCTCCCGGGTGTTCATGGACCAGGGGGGCTGGTGCCATCATTTGATCCCCAAGGGATCAATTATCCAATTTAGGCCAGTGATGTTCAGCCTAAATCGGATTATCAATCCCTGCCCTATCAGAGACCTTCCTGTACCTGTGTTACACTTACACAGGTACAGGAAATGATGACATCTCTCTTTGGGACCGTTCCGTCCCAGAGAGAGAAGAAAGAAGACACTGAGTAAAACAGCACACTTGCACACAGTTAGAACACTTTCTGGTCACATTTAACCCCTTGATCGCCCCCCCCCAGTTAACCCCTTCACTGCCCTGTCACCAGTGCCATTAGTACAGTGTACATTTTTTGCTGATCACTGTATTAGTGTCACTGGCGACTTCAGATAGCATTAGTGTTAGTTAGCGTCCCTACCAGATACCGTCAGATTGCCTGTCATTATACCAGTCATCACATTTAACCCCTTGATTGCCAGGAACATGCTCACATACACAATAAACCTCCACTGCTAGTATAGTGTCTGAACGGATCAATATCTTTGATCAGATCAGCACTATACCAGCGTTCACCTTCGTATAGTGTCCCCAAAAACGCAACGTAAGCAGGATCAGCCCCGACACCTGCCAGCACCTGCGTTTAGCCCCTATGCTTACCCCCCCCCCCCCCCCAGCAAGTGTAGCATTCGCAGAATCAGGCCTGATCTCTGTTAGCATTAGCCGGTAAATTATTTTGTAGCGGTTCAAGCAGTCCTTGACAGCCAGGTGCTTTTTTTTCCCATGAGTCGCACTAGGTACGTAGACATTTAGGGGTTTATTTACTAAAGCTGGAGAGTCCAAAATCAGACTCCCTTCTGCATAGAAACCAATCAGCTTCCAGGTTTCATTGCCAAAGCTTCATTGAACAAGCTGAGGTTAGAAGCTGATTGGTTTCTATGCAGAAGGGAGTCTGATTTTGGACTCTCCAGCTTTAGTAAATAAACCCCTTAGTGACCAAAAAGTCAATCAAAAGGTACTCTATTGAAGAGGCCTACAGGACTCTGAGCATGTCAGGTGAGAGAGAAGGGGAAGGCTCACTGACACAATCAGCCTCAGAATACGAACCTGTAGACAGCAGCGACACACTGACAGATTGCTCAGATGATGGTGAAGAGGTCCCCGCTAAGGTCAGGAATACCCAACCCCGTTCCCAGGTTGCTGAGATGTTACAATAGCATGATAATTTTCATATGCAACAAAGTGCTAGCACTAGTGCCGCTCTACCTTTTGGTATCTGGCAAGCACCAGTGGCCTAGTACATCCTAGTCTTATACTTACCAGCACTGCAGTATACCAGTCTTAGAAAGGGAGAAAAAGACCTTATTGAGAAATGAGGAATTGCTCGCAGTGAAGTAGAAGGACAAATGGAATGTTTTTGTTCTGTCTTCCATTCACGCAGACAGAACCATCCAAACAGCCACAGCAGCTGGTGGTGTTGAGAAGTCCCTCTGTGTCCACGACTATAACCTTAACATGGGAGGGGTGGACTTCAATGACCAGATGATAAAGACATACTTAGTTTCCCAAAAAGCCAGACGCTGGTATAATAAAAAGTGTCTGTTTATTTATTTCAATTGGCTCTATATATAATGCTTTTGTGCTTTACAAAGCAACTGGACGAAGTGGATCCTTCCTAAAATTCCAGGAAGAGATCATCACGGCTTTTTGTATCCAGAAGGGGCTGTGGCCCAAACCCCCAACACAGATGCAGTTAGCCGGCTGCATGAGAAGCGTTTTCCCGATGCCATTCTTGGTGCCCCCCAAAGGACACCCCAAAAAAGATGTCGTGTCTGTAGCAGACATAGAATTAGATGCTTTTTTTGTCCCTCCTGTCCTGGCCAACTTGATTTCTGCCTCATGGACTGCTTCCATCGCTACCACACACTAATGGAGTATTAGTATAAGGTATAGCATGGCACAGTTCAGGGCACATATTTGCACAGGGTCTTGAAAGATGTTAAATAGTCAGGAAACTGGCTATTGTATTTTGAGAGACCCTACAGTCTTTAAGTTCAAGCTAAAGTTAAAAAAAATATATATATAAAGTACAAATACATAAAAAAAAAAAAAAAAAGAAATAGTTTTATTGTTAACCATTGCTGCTTTCTTTGCAGGAATACAGGGACAACAACAGGGTCTTGCTCTCAGAATATACAAAAGTAGGTGTGTGTGCAACGCTGTTGGATGAGATTTGTTATCCACAGTTAAAAAAGAGCATATATGCCGAAGCATGGGGGCCTGGGGTGGCCAGTGGGTGGATGGCCTCTATGCTTTGGTATATATTTAAAAAAAAAATTGGGGGGGCAGAGATTTCTTCATCCACATCAACTGGGATAAATGATAAAAAAAGAACATTTCATGTGTGCCCACCATTAGAAGTGGGTGGATGCAGAGTGGTATATTTTAATGGTGGGTATACCACACTATTTTTCTGGCATAGATTTCTTCTTCTTTTTTTTTTTTCCATTCAGCCCACAGGCTGCATATAGAATAAAAAAAGAACACAGCATATATACCCAACAAAGGACCAGCAACGTACTGGTACATCACTGTACTTTGAGTGGTTCTACCAGGATAATGCCTGCAGCTGCATCCTGGTATCGTTTTTTTCAGCCAGCGATCGGCTTTCATGTAAAAGCAATCCTAGTGGCTAATTAGCTGCAGGATTGCTTTTACAAGCAGCAGGATAAGATGTCTCCCCTCCCCCGTTGCCTTCCACGGCCTTTTCGGGCAGTCCTGTGCAATCGGGGGAACCTGAAAATGCAGACGGTGTTTCTGCCAGATGACCATAGAGCTGATCGGAGACCGGAATGGAGCCAATCATCTCTATAGTCTAAGAACGGAAGCTACAAGCATTTCATCAGTTTTGCAGGATATAAACAGTGCCATTTGAAAATTGAGAATGCATCTGATCACACCGATCTTGGTGAGATTAGATAATGTAAGGGCAGAGGAGATATCTAGAGTCTGATAGACCCCAGATTTCTCAAAAAAAGAATATATGTTAATGCCCATTGAAGTTACAGGGGATATTTGCATTCCCTGTGAAAGCATTAAAAGTGATCAAAAAAAGAAAAAAATTAAAAGGGACAGTGTAAAAATAATAAAAAAAAAAAAATCAGACTAAAAAAAAAAAAAAAAAAAAAAACCCCGTGCCAGTATGTGAACAGTGGTTGCACCATGCATGTGAGGTATTGCCGAGAACGTCGCATCCAGGGCAGTAATTCTAGCACTAGACCTCCTCTGTAAATCTAAAATCGTAGCTTGTAAAGGCTTTTATAGCATTGCCTATGGATATTAAAAATGTATGCAGTTTGTCGCCATTGCACGGGACGTGCAAAGTTTTAAAGAATGTCATGTTTGGTATCTATTTACTGGGCATACCATCATCTTTTATATTTTTCAAAATAATTAGCCAATATATTGTGTTTTTGTGCATTAAAAAGTAAAAAAAAAAAAAAAAAAATTTGCGTTTCAAAAATCGCTGTGCGAGTACTATGTGACATAAAAAATTGCAGCACCCACCATTTTTTTATTCACTAGGGTGTCTGCTTTAAAAAATATATAATGTTTGCGGGTTCAAAGTAATTTCCTATCAAAAAATACTGATTTTTTTTTTCATGTGAACAAAAAGTGTCAAAAAATGCTTGGTCTTCAGGTGGTTAGAAGAGTGATCTGCCAATGCCACCCCAAGACCAAAAGCCAACTCTAGGGACAGGATGTGATGTCACTGTTAGCAGCGTATCGACTGAGAAGCACCGCTTCAACTAGTTTCATCTCTAATTGGACATCTACAGGAAGCTTCCTGAGCTGTGTGGTAAGTGTACATCCACGTGTTTATCTATTACTAATGGCATCAGCACCTGTTCACCTACTTTTTGTTTTTTAATTATCTATCATTTGAATGGGACTTATTGATACATTGGACATTAGTTGTATTTTCTGGTGGTGTTTATTTTTTGTACTTTTATATGTGGCAAACTGTTCAATGATCCTGATTCACATTTTTGGTAGTGCAGTCTATATACACATTTATAGGGTTCACAAACGTGGAAGTTAGAGACATTGTGAAGACTGCAGCAGCAATAATCAAATTCAGCTGTTTGCTTTTTCTATTTATTTGTTGCCTGTGGCGCAGAGATTTCCTCTCACTTCCTCTTTTGGCAATAGGACAGGAAGTGAAGGAAAATCTCCCAATGGGAAACAGATGGCAAAAAACCTGACAAGGGTTATAGACCATCCCTGCAAAATGAAGAAGTTTTGCCTTTCATTCAACTTTAATATATCTGCTTTCTCTGTAACTAGAATTGTACAGTGAAAGCATCACCAATATGACATGCATTTATGTACTGGATATCTTGCCTTCCTTTGGAAAACTTGCCTGACATCGACATTTTGCAAGACAGGCTTCTGGAACATTCATAACATGAATGAACCACTTCCCGTCCGGCCCATGTATATAAAACTGCCGGACGGTGGCAGTGCAGGGTCGGGTGGCCGTTTATAAACGGTCTCCCCGCATCCTCCTTGTGCTCAGTCCCTGGGAGCGCGCAGCACCACGTTTCGGTGCCCGCTGTGTCCTCTGGACACAGTGGAATACTGATCGTCGGACGGGACCTCTGTGCGAGGTCCCAATCATGTGATCACTGAATGGCCAATCAGTGATCCCATGCAGATTAGTAAGCAAGATGTCACTTCTGACATCATTGCTTACTACTTGTGAAATCTGTGAATGATCACAGACGTCACATGGTACAAGGCTATTCACAACAGCCTTGTACCATGTGACAAGCTGTGACCAATCACAGCTCACACAGTAGTTCTCAATGGCTGCAGGAATGCAGCTAGAGAGAAGGAGAAATGATTGCTTTTACAGCCTTTATGGGTGTAAAAGCAATCTGTGTAAAAAAAAAAAAAAAAAAAAAAATCTTCATCACCCCCCACTAGTAGTACAGTGTCACCATGCTAGGGTGACAGTATGTAAAAAAAAAAAAAAAAAAAAAAAAAAAAAACATAAAAAATATAAATAAAAATGTAAAAAAAAGTTAAAATATTATAATTTTTGGTTATAAACTAGTTTGGGTTATTTTTTTTTTTTTACTATAAAGATACCGGAATAAATTTTGGCCAAGATTTACGATGAAATACTATTTATTTGCAAAATTGTATAAGAAAAACACTTTTTTTCAAAATTTTTGGACATTTTCATTTACATAGCAAAAAAAATAAAAATCCCGTACGACAATCGGTGTTCCACTGTGTCTGGAGGACATAGTGAGCACCAGATCGTGGTGCTGCGCATTCCCAGGGAGTGCGCACAGTCCAAAATTGCGGGCACCATTTATGAATGGCAACCCGCCCCTGGACTGCCACCGTCCGGCCGTTTATATACAGCGGCCGGACGGCAAGTGGTTAAAAAGGAGCCACACAACTTTTTTTTTTTTGGCATAATCAGTCATATTTTCAATATCAATGCCAAAATGTCATAAATTTCCGCTAGGGTATGCAAACTTTTGAGCACAACTGTACTTTAAGGGCACATGTACATTGCATGTACACGTTTAGGAGCTGTTCAGCGTTTTTTTTCAGCAGCCCCTGAACTTACCCTAATGTTTTCCTATGTGTCCATGTACACATCATCATCGTTTATAGTCATTTACAGGCAGTTGAGTTTACAGTCATTTTTTGGAACGCAGAAAACTTGTGTTCAGCAAATTTTTATCAGAGTTTCAAACGCAAAACACTTGTAAACGCGGCTAACTGCGTTTATAGGCGTTTAAATTTTTTTTTTTTTTTTTAAATCTTCCATTTCCAGATGCTGTCCAGAGCTTTTTTTCATCATGTAAAATGCATGCAAAGTGCTTCCCCGGTTCTCAAATGGACCTGGTACACCATACTTTGAGGTTTCGCATGAAAGAAAATATGTTAGACACTGCTGCAATAATTTCTGCACAGAAATGAGCTGAAAAACATCCAAACACCACAAAAAAAAAAAAAAGACAGCTAATCTCAACAAATACTGCTCTCTGTGCTTCTGCTCTCTCTATTTCTCTCAAAATGTTTTCTGCAATGTGGACTGTCACAACAGTTTCCTATTTACAGGTATCATAAGTTTGCTGCAGTTGCACAATATAATAATGCGGCATATATTTTTCATAACCATTATAAAATACACATGTCTAATATGCATTAGAAGCCCCAGGTAAAGAGTTATACAATAATGTTATTACAACATTCTATTCTGCTGATGCCACAGGTTTTTTTTCTCTACTAGACAACTCATCAAAAAGAAGAATTCAAGTACTAAAGTTAGGCTACTTTCACACTGAGGAGTTTTTTAAATGTTTTTGAGTTAAAAAAAAGCACCTCAAAAGCGCAATAAAAATGCTTCCCTATGAATGTGAAAATATATCTATGTATGTTTTCACACTGAGGTGTTGCACTTGCTGTGAGGTGTAAAAACTCCTGCTTGCAGCATCTTTGAAAAAACGCCCCGAAACACCTCGTCCCATTTAAATCAATGGAAAACACCTCTGAGAAGCGTTTTTTGGTGCAGTTTTTAAGTCCCGTGTAGTTTAAAAAGGCTCAGAAAACACAGTAAAAACGCCTATGCATTTTTGCGGCAGACCAGTGTGAAAGTAGCCTTATAGCGAAACAGAAAAAGGGTGTGTAAAATATCTGATTTTGTATGACATTTTCAATCTAATTTCTGCCTTTTTAAATGTCAATCACAAAATAATAAAAAACAGCACCTATAAGTAAACTCTTAACACCGCAATAATTTCAAATGCCGCAAGCATGTTTTATGCTGAGAACTTTAAGTGCAAGATGTCATTCTAACACAAAATCTGCCTGCAATGTGTATTATGTCCATACCTGCCAATCAGCAAACTTCAGGCTTTGTCTGCAGTGTGCAGCAAGCCACTATCTGATCTCCAACTGTTCACAGAAGCAGCTGTCATCTTAAGGAGCAGTGGAAACGCACAATAAGCTAGGGGTAGGAGGGGATAAAAAGGGAGGGCACATCACATAACTAAGCTTATGCAAGCGGTCTATTTACCCAGAGGCCCTCACTGAACTAACCTACATTCTTAACCACTCTACTAGAAGAAGCAAGGCCAACCTGACAAAAATCAGGTCAGGAATATTCAACAAGGATAACCTGTCTTTTTCCATTAGGACAAAAAGAGAAGGGGCAAATGATGGCACTCATATATGATGGACCCAGCTATGTCTGTTAAATTAAAATTCAGCAACACAGTCAATGTCTTACTAAAACTTTAGAGAAGCAGAGCAGTCAAATGCGCATGTTGTAAAAGGTGATCTCTCTGAAAGTTTGCGCGTGCACTATATTGTTAGCTGAGTACAAATTCATGAAATAACAGGAAAGTATATTTAAAAAGACAAAACTTTTTCTTTGTGAAAATTTTTTTTTTGGAGTTGCCACCAGAACAGGATTAGAGGCAAAATCTCCATATTCTGGTGACACCTGGGCCTCATGCACACGGATCATCTGAAAAAGCCCCTCTGAACACCAGAAAAATGTGGCAGGAAAATACAGCATAAATAACACGCTAAAAACAGGGAGTATTGCAGAGGCAAAGTCCTGGCAGTCCTGCAATAATTGATCCACTGTGTTCTGAAAGGTGGCAGGGACATTGTGACATAAATGTGATATGAATGTACAGATCTGAGTAGATAAGATGTGACCTGTAGCAATATGTAATCGTAAATGTAGTTGTATGCCTTGTCAGTTAAGAAATATTCAGTCAGAGGTACTCAGACACAAATGGTCATCAATTAGCATCTGAAAAGCCTAGCTTCCTCTGGAAGTGGCACCTGGGTGCGAATAAGATTTTGTCACCTTCTGGGGAAACCTGTTGGAAGGAAACGGCTGGAGACAGGTGTCTCCCCGACATCGAGAGCTCCTAAAGAATATACATACATCAAAGGGGTATGTTTCATCCCTCATAAAAGCTAAAATATTAGTTGCAGAGAGATGAAAATACTTCCTTCGGATAGGGCACTCAGTGGGTCACATCGACATATAAAAACCGTATTTGTGGGTTAGGTAGAATGCCAGGAAAATGCAGGAAATGGTTAGGTGGCGCTGGATTGCAACAGTCGGAACAGTGATTGGTACAGTCCATTGCTCCTAATGAGAAATCCTAATTTCTTCCCAGATCTGGAACAGGATATCATTAAGCTACTGGACAGTCTGAGGTGCAACCTGGTGGAGTTGGATGGACCGAAACATGGTATTACAGAAGTGTTATATTGATTTTAGGTCAGGTGAGCATGGGGGCCATTCAATGGTATCAATTCCTTCATCCTCCAGGAACTGCCTGCATACTCTCGCCACATAAGGCCGGGCATTGTCGTGCACCAGGAGGAACCCAGGACCCACTGCACCAGCATAAGGTCTGACAACGGGTCCAAGGATTTCATGCCGATACCGAATGGCTGTCAGGATGCCATTGTCTAGCCTGTAGAGAAACAGTGATAATTGATCCTCAATTAAAATCCTTTTTCCCTACATTTTCCTTGCTACTTGAATTGCAATATTTAACAGGAAAAATCTATTAATTTAATTTTAACCCTTTATTAATTTATAACCTTTTCTTTATATTCAGTTTTGGAATTAAATTAATCTTTTGGTTCCCCTATGTTTATTTCGTTATACTTAGATGGATATATGATGCCCATTATATTCTTCAAACTTATTTGGACATTACAGGCCGATTAGACCTCTAAACAGTAGACAGAACATATTTCTATATTTCTCTGCAATTTCCATAGGTAAAATTAATTAAGTTAATTTTCATTAATTAACATCTCTTGATTTCTTTTTTGAAATTAAATTAGTTTCTGATTTTTGTCTATCCTATTTTGTCTAGATGGATGTTTGATGTCCATTGTTTCCTCTCTTATGGTTGTGAACACATAGGTCAAATAGATCTTTGTTAGGTTATACCTATATATCCTAAAGCATTTAACAGGTAAAATTGCCAAAAGTTTATCTCAACCTATTGAATTATGATCTCATCATATCTTTCGTTAAATGTAATCTTTTTTTGTTTATCCCATTATTGTGCCTAGATGGTATCTGATGCCCATTATATCCTCTACAACTGTTTTGGACGCACTGTTTTTAGGTCATTTTCTTCTAGCTCCGTGAGCTTTCACATCCAGGGTGAGCCATTGAGTCCCATATTTATGTATATATATTTGATTAAATACCTTGTATTAAAGTTGTTTGGTAATTGAACAGTTTTCCTTTGATATACTTTTAGACTGCCTTGGCGGTAGAAATTTCCTCAAAAAATCTCCCCTGAAGAAGCCCGTCAGGGCAAAACATGTAGGGAGTATACTACATTTACCTAACCAAGTTTGAATCTCAGTTGGTATTCTTAGAATTGAAATTGTTTTTATGCTTTTGTATTTTTTCCTTTCTTGTGTTTTTTTACCAAAATATGAAATAAAAATTATTTAACTTTTAATGTGTGGTATTCATGTCTATGCATCCTGAAAGTCCCATCTTCTCTATTGATTATTAGCCTGTAGAGGTCTGTGCGTCCCTCCATAGATATGCCTCCCCAGACCATCACTGACCCACCACCAAAACGGTCATGCTGAATGATGTTACAGGCAGCATAACATTTTCTACGGCTTCTCCAGACCTTTTCACGTCTGTCACGTGCTCAGGATGAACCTGCTCTCAGCTGTGAAAAGCACAGGGTGCCAGTAGCAGACCAGCCAATTCTGGTGTTCAATGGCAAATGCCAATCGAGCTCTATGGTGCCGAGCAGTGAGCACAGGACCCACTAGAGAACGTCGGGCCCTCAGGCCACCCTCAAGAAGTCTGTTTCTGATTGTTTGGTCAGAGACATTCACACCAGTGACCTGCTGGAGGTCATTTGGCAGTGCTTATTCTGTTCCTCCTTGCACAAAGGAGCAGATACTGGTCATGCTGATGAGTTAAGGACCTTCTATGGCCCTATCCAGCTCTCCTAGAGTAACTGCCTGTCTCCTGCAATCTCCTCCATACTCTTGAGACTCTGCTGGGAGACACAGCAAACCTTCTGGCAATGGCATGTATTGATGTGCCATCCTGGAGGAGCTGGACTGCCTGTGCAACCTCTGTAGGGGTCCAGGTATCGGCTTCATGCTACCAGTAGTGACACAGACCCTAGCCATTTGCAAAACTAGTAAAAAACAGTCAGAAAAGATGAGTAGGGAAAAATATGTCAGTGGCCTCCATCTGTAAAACCATTCCTGTTTTGGGGGTTGTCTTATTGTTGCCCATCTAGCGCACCTGTTCATGTCATTAACACCAAAGCAGCTGAAATTGATTAACAACCCCCTCTGCTACTTAACTGAACAGATCAATATCCCAGGACTTTAACTG